TGGAATTCCTGTATCTGTTTCAGTATGCTTCTTGAGGTGAATGAATTTCCTCCCCTCCTACCGCTCTTCTAAAGGTCTGTAACCTCCGTCCAGTGGTAGGTGACTCTTGCCTGTGATCTTTTATTTAGGTGCTCAGAACGCCCAGGAGTGAGGCATTTATAAACAGAGGAGAACCTTAGTTTCAAGTCAGGCTATAATCTGAGGTCATGCAGGTACAGGCTCACCCTAAGAACAGGCATTTTTGCCTTCCCTCCCAACTGCTTAGTTTTACCTTGTTTGGTCTTGTAGTATTACATGACCACCGCGGGAGGAGAGGATTCATAGGACTTGCCCATTTCTCCATGGGCTCCAGAGCCAAAAGAAAAGGATCAAGGAGAGAGGACTTATTTGAGGGTCTGTAGCCTAAGTACGAGCCCTGTGGTGTATATATTGGTCTGATCCACAAAAAGAACCTCTCTAGGCCTTAGGCAGAGGTCCTCAAACTTTTTAAACAGGGGCCAGTTCACTGTCCCTCAGACATTCCACACATGCTCACTGCGGGCCCGGGACGAGTCGGCTGCTAAGCAGGACAGGCAGCGGCGGCAAAAACACCCGGCGGGCCGGATAAATGTTTTCCGCGGGCCGCAGTTTGAGGACCCCTGCCTTAGAGTGAGCGCAGAGTGGGCAAAACTCCTCGGACACTTGTGGTCAAACCTGCACTTCGTTTCAGCTAAAGCCTCCTTTGGTCTTGCCATTTCAGCCCTCTCCTTCTAAGCATGTGAGGTCTGACTTCTTTTGTCTTCTGTTCCTCAGCCCTGCAGAGAGAGCTTTGGCCCTGGGCACAACCCTTTCTTCAGATGGCGAACTCATTTTCTGTCTAGCAGACCAGAGGGACAAGGTGTAATTCAACCCCTCCCTGCATCAGACACTGCTGCCAGGGGGAAACAATGAAGAAAGTGATCTTTGTTGTTCCCTGAATAGGGCCATGAACCTGGCACCTGCTTTTGTTGCTGGCTTCGTAAGTCACTGGAGACATTTTTGCTGTCTTCCTGGGTCAGCAGCTGCTTTGGGGTAATAGTGGCAACTGGCTGTGGGGTGTCAGTTCTCCCTCAAAGAAAATGGATGTATTTATATGAGCGGGGTTACCTTTCATGTCTCTAAGCCTCTTGTCTTCAGGGCTGGTCTAGAGAATGAGCAGTTGGGTGTCAGCTGTGCCCTCAGTTTGACCACTCATGACCCTTATCTCCTCTGAATCCGAGGAGACAAATTCATTGCTTTTTCAGCCTGTTCTCTCTCATTAGACTGAGTTCTGTGTTCCTAGCACTTAGGTTAGTGCTGGGTGCTTGCATGGTTAGTATGCAACAAATGTATGAATGAGTGATTGGGTAAATTTCTTAAAGTGACTATTCAGATTTAGTTTCACTGACCCCTGATATGAGGGGCTTGTGGGAGGACGACCTTTATTTTTAGGAGAAAGATTGCTTAAAAGGAATTATGGAAGGTTTGATTTCTAGATGGTTTGGGGGCACTCCAAGATAGTTCTTATTATCTCCTCATGGGTTTAGAACTTTCTCCTTAGTTACTAAGTCTTTGCTGGCAGACTTGCCCACCTGTTTTAGGAGTAATATACTGAACCTGACTCAGGCCTTTTCTTCCCCTGGGCTCTGGCATTCCTGAGCCCACGCCAGGGCAGGGCAAGGCAGGGCAGCTTTTTAATTGTCTTTGTCATTATAGAGTCAGAAGCCCTAAGGACCACACCTCATACACTGTAGTCTGGACTTCCTGATCTGCCTGCATTCAGTCAAGTTTCACTCAGCTCTTAGGTGTCTGTGCCTTGGTGAAAGCTGTTGGAGACAGCATGGCTTTCCCCTGCTTTGTCAGCAGCTGGCCAGAGTGCCTATTGGACTGCCAGATCTCAAGCCTTTCACATTTGTCTGTCTCTCTCTGGAATTTAGGGCAGAATGTCTCTTACCACCTGAGGGTACATTCACTGGAACCTATTGGAGAATAAAAGATGAACAGCCCGGAAAAGTGTATGGACGTAGTATACTACTGTGCTTTGGAATGCTCTGATTCCCAGGAAAAGGTGCATTGTCTGCGAGAATACAGCTGGAGTCCAGGCCGCTGCACCCCGCCCCCTTCCCGAGAACCTCCCGTCGGAACCATCACTCACTTCATAATTCCAAACATCCTTGTTTTTGTTATATTTTTATCTGATATGGTGAAACACACAGAGGAAATGACAAGCTAACATATGTTGTCTTTTAAATGCACTTAGTTCAAGTGGCTATTTTAAATGTCAGTTGTTCCTGCCATTAGATTCCTGTTGTCTGGGCTGTTTCTTTCTTCCTGGGTTGGGAGGAGTTTCTGATAGAATTTTACAGTGGCATTAAATCCAGATCTTTCCTGGCTGATTGATAATTCCTTTAAACCTTGTTCTTTTCTATACTTATACTAGAGGCCCGGTGCACAGATTTATGCACTGGTGACGTCCCTTGGCCTCGCCTGTACCCTCTTGCAACCTAGGACTTCTTGGGGGATGTGGGATAGCTGGTTTCGGCCTGAGCCCTGCAGGCCCAATCCAGACAGGAGGGAGCCCGATCCTGTGCATTGAGCATCTGTCCCCTGGTGGTCAGTATGCATCAGAGCGACCGGTCAACTGGTCGTTTGGTCATTCAGTCGCTTAGGCTTTTATATATATAGATTTGCACTAGTGGCCTGGTGTATAAAATTCATGCACGGGGCGGGGTGGGGGGATCCCTTAGCCCGGCCTGCACCCTCTCCAATCTGGGATCCCTCTCGCAATCCAGGACTGCTGGCTCCTAACCGCTCACCTGCCTGCCTGCCTGCCTGCCTGATCGTCCCTAAC